ACTCTAGGGCCACAGAGTCCCCCACCTAGTGCTGCGCATGGTAGAAAAGGCAGGGTGGCCTGTGGCCCCAAACCAACATCCACCCAAACCTAGACTGTGGTCTTGTTTGGAAAAGGCTCTTTGTAGATGTAATCAAGTTGAGGAGACCAGTGTCCGGGGTTATCCAGCCAAGGCACCCTGGAGCCACCAGGAGCTGGACCCCACTCCCCAGCCTCAGAGGGACATGGCTTGGAGCACCCAGGGCTGGGACTTCCGATGCTCAGGATGCCCAGCTTGGTAGTGTGTCACAGCGGCCGCAGGGCACGGACAGCGGCACTGTTGCTAGAGAAGCTGCGGCCGGGGATATAGCTCAGCGGCACAGCGCCTGCCTGGCAAGCGCAAGGTCATGAGTTTGATTCCCAGTACCGGAAAAAAAACCAAAAAAACCAAAAAAACCGGAGAAGCTGAGGCTCTCGCCACAGGGAAGTGGCTGCCACGCTCCTATGTCCTGCGCCTGTCTTTAAGGTGTGCAAGATGCTGAGCCGCAACGGGAAGTCACTCTGTCCACTGTGCGCTAGCGACGCCCACCGAGAAAGGAGGCAGGCGGGAAAGTGTGACAGCCCAAGTCACCTCCCACGGCCCCCAGGTGCGGCTGGGTCTGGCTCAGCTTCAAGAGCCAGGTGCTGAGAGCACAGAAAGTCAGGCTCGGCTACTACCTTGGACACGCTCGGCCAGCCTGTGCCAGGCCTGTGCTCCCCTAGTCTGGGTCCTTCTCTCCCACCCTCTCCCAGGAGGCGACACCCTGGAGCCGGCTTGTGGTGGCCCTGTGGCCACAGCTGTGGGAGTGCTGAGGCTCCAAACCCTTCCTCTGAACCTTGGGGCTTCCCACCCACCCTAGCTCTTCCTCTGTCACAGGGAGTGACAACGTGGGGTTGGGGACTCGGAATCCCACAGGGGAAGCCAGAACCTTCCTGTCAGGGAGCAGATGGGGGTGGTGTGCGCTGGGCCCGCACTTGCTGTCCCGTCCCATCGGGCACCGACAGGGCCCGGTGCTCCTCAGCAGTCCCTGCAGCTCAGCCCTCTGCAGACCTGCACTGGGCCTGGGTCATGGGGCTGGGTACTATGGCCAGTGGACCCTCTGGGCAGACGGGAGTGGACCTCTTGGGGATAAGCGCCAGGCCAGAGACAGCCTTGTTAGGAGACAAGGGCCACGTGGTGGGGGCCAGGCTCAGCACCTGTTCATTAGGCAGCTGTGCTGCAAGGGTGGAGAGAAGCCCCACATGGGGCCCAGTGGCCTCCTGTGCTCTGTGTGTTGGGATGCTTCAGTTCTCTGGGCCTCAGCCATAGGAGGTGCTCAATTAATACCAGCTACTATTACACACGTTTGGAGATTGGGGCCAGGGCCCCTCCCAGGACACCCCTTACTTTGAGGGGGCTCCCAAGGTATCTGTCCAGGGGAAATTGTGACTTGCACCCACCTGGCCTTCCCCATCCCTGCCCACCAGGGCCACGACTGCAGTGCCAGCTGGGTGCCATGGGGGGCGTCCCCTGGGCTCCAGGCACCAGGCCCCTGAGCTGATGCCCAGGACACTGCTTACCCACTTGACCTCCCCATTCCATGGACCCCACCTCTCCTCCCATGGGGACCCCTTCAGGTGCCTGGGGGTGGGCAGTGGCAGGAGTCACCCTGGGGCTATCTGAGCCTGAGCTCAGAGGCCCTGTGCCAGTGCCCAGGACAAAGGCAGCGAGAGGGCAATGGCTTCAGCTCTGTCATCCCACAAGGCCCCCATGACGTTGTCCCCATGCGGTCACCCCAGGAGTCTATCCCTGTGCAATGTCCCCTAGGGGAGGGGGCCTGGCCCATCCTCACGGGGAAGGGTGGGGCCCTCCAGGATGCAGAGGAAGGTGCCCGAGGCAATGTTACACACAGAGGAGCCTCACAAGCAGCAGGAACGGAAGTGGCTGGGCCACTCCCTGTGGGGCGGCCAGGGAGAGCAGGGGGTGGGGCGCTGAGAGCCTACTGGCAGGCTGGGGCTCTCCTCTAGCCCTGCAGTGGGCGGTCGCCTGGGGGAAGAGGGCACATGGTGGGAGGCCCTGGCCCTGGGTGCCGCATCCACCATCTGTGTCTCTGTGTGGCCTGTGCAGTTCTCAGGAACAGGAGACTTGGAGGTGGCCCTCTGAGCCCTGCCTTAGAGAGGAGGAAATCGGGTCCACAGCCCCCAGAAGCAGGGTACCACGGGGAGTCAGGGCTGCTGCAGGCCCTCAGCTGGCTGGCATCGACACATGGCTGGCTGTGCACACCCACTCTGGGTGCCCTGATCCTCATGCCAGCCCCACAGTGACCCCTCTCTACATAGGACCTGAGACTAAAGGTCTCCAGAATGGTGGTGCTACTATCCCACAGCAAGACCTGGGAAAGGTCCCCTGGGAGTCCTTCAAGGGCCACCTGTCCCAAGCCTGGCTGAGCATGGGTGCCTCCTGCGAGTGTCCAGACTGCGGGCAGACAGTGCTCTTGGAGGCAACGATGGCCATAGGCAGTTGGGGAGGCCACCTGGTTAGGCATTAGGCGACAGCCCAGGCCCCGGCTGCTGAAGGAACTCCACACTATTTCCCCCCATATTTTTCCAATAAAGAAGCAGTTAGACACCAACCGCAGCCTTAGGGAGGTTAGGGAGGGGCCACCTGGTGGCATCCTGCACCAGTTGGCAGCACGCCTGGCCTCTGGCAGCTGCAGAGGAGTGAGGCAGGCAGTGAGGGAGGGTCCCTACTGGCCTGTCTGCAGCCTGTCCCCACAAAGCCCATGTCCACTGCAGTAGCCCCAGGTTAGCTGGGCTGGCAAGGCCAGAGCCCAGAGGTTGAGAGGAGACACACGAAACAGACTATCCACGGGGTGAGCCCTGTGCTGCCCTGGCCACCCACCCAGCATCCTCTCTTGTGGCAACACCACCCCAGGCCAGCTGTGGCCTGGTGCACAGAGTTTCTGTAGCTTTCCTATTACCTGCCAACCACGTTTTCAGCCACTGTGCATCACTATTCTCTCAGCGACTTCCAGGCCATCTTGTGCTGGGGTGGGGACACCAGTGGTGCAAGCCATGTGTGTGTGGACGGGTGTCCCAGGGTCCTGAGGGCTGGGTGGCCTGGGCTGCTCAGAGTCCAGGCTGTCCCATGGCTGCTGAGGACTCCTCCTCCCCATTTCTGACAACTACATCCACAGGAGCTGCCCCTCAGAGGTGCCCAGAGACCATACCTCCTCCCTGGTTCACGCCTCGGGCCGGGCAAGGGCCCCGAACAGTTGTACCCACAGCTAAAGTTCCACAGCCTGGAACACAGCTTGCTAGAGGGAACCAGGCACCTGAGGAATGGGCATTGTTGCCACAACTGGGGTGAGATGTGGTCAGGAAGGCAGAGAGGACTGGGGCACCAAACAGCCTGTGTGCGCTCCAGGCTCTCCGGACCTTCCATCACTTCTCCATGCCTGAGCTGTGGAGTCCTCACCAGCCTCTGGCCTCTGGCTCTGGTCTGCCTGGGGTGCCATGCCTCTGAACAAACCCCAGCAGCACAGAGCCCTGGCGCTCGCAGGAAGGGCAAGCCTGGGCTAATGAGGACAGGGAAAGACCGGGCCAACGCCAATCTAGGGAAACAGAGGGGGAGAGTCGGCTAACACAAGGAGCTGAGCCTGGGCCGGCAGGAGGCCTGTGCCTGCCCCTCGGGGCTTTCTGAGGCTCCTGCTGTGCAGCTCTGAGGACCTGGCCTCAATTCACCTGCTCTGCTCCCACTCTGGCCCTCAAGCAAGGCAACTCGGACCACCCCATCCCTGGCCCTCAGTGTGAGGACACTGAGGCAAGACACAGGAGCAGCCAGGGCTGCTCTTTCCTACCACTTCTGTTGCTGCTGAGCCTGATACAGTGTGCCTCACGTGTGGCCATGGCCCAGGGCACTGTGCGCACCCCGGCCCGACCCTAGGCACTGGCCTGCAGGGGAAGGCCTCCGGATGTGAGCTCCCAGTGGGGGTCCCCGCCCAACCCACAGAGGCTGTGCTGCCCTTGTCGGCCACGCCAGGAGTTGCACCTGCCGTGGGGCGGTGCTGCAGCCCTGTGGCACTGAGGCCCAGCCTGCCAGCCTGGCGACTGGAGTCAGCTCACTGTTGGAGCGCAGACAGGTGGCAACAGGGTGGCCTCTGTCCCTTTGTCCATGTCACCCTCCTCTGAGACAGGAGGGGAGCGGGAGCGGCCCCCACCCCACCCGTTTTTGTTTCCCCTGAACACTGCTTTAGGAGCCGCTGGTTCAGCACCTGCTCTGGGGCAGTGAGCAGCACTGGCACCTGCACGTTCTCTCCACCCAGCGGTGGCCCACCACACGTGTGGGCCTATGAGCAAGGGGCGTGCAAGCTCCTGGGCACACAACCATCTTCAAGACAGCCTGGGCCATGGCACCCACAGAAGCAGCACTGCCCCAGGAGGCCTGGGCTTTGGGGTTGACCCACCACTGGGTCACCCTGCTCAGGAAAGCTGCCCCCTTACCCTCCTCACTGTCCCTGCCATGGTCTGCCCTGAGTTCCTGCTGGACTGAGTGCTTGCCCAGGGCCCAGGGTGGGGCCATGAGCAGGACTGTGCAGGAGCCCAAGTCAACTGGCACGTGACCATGGGCAGGTCCTTACCCCTGGCCACAAGAGCTAGCCCGCTGCTGCTCTGCAGGGTGCTAGGACCTCAAAGAAGGCCCAGGAGGCCAGAGGGGACCTGAGGGGACCCACGATGAGTGCTGGTTAATAGGACTTGGTTTCTCAGGAGAAGGTGACTGTCACACGGTCTCCCGGTGCCGGCTGCCTGTAGCCCCAGCCTAAGAGCCCGGACCTGTGCTGCCTGCCAGGCTCTGCTGGCCCAGGGCACCCTCCATCGAGGGCTTCCATGCCCACCAGCTCCAAGCCCATGAGGCTGATGCTCCCATAGCACAGGCCCCCATGCCCAGTGTCCAGGGCCCACCCCTGCCTGGGTCAGGAGGAGGTTGGAGGCAGCTGGGCTTACCTTGTCATCCATGCCACTCTCGCTGTCACACTGTGGGGACAGAGAAAAGGAAGTGAGTCAGGGCCCTCCATACTCCAGGAGGACAGGGTGGCAGGGCTGAGGGCAGCAGTTGGGGCTGAAGCTGAACAGGGCCACTTAGGCCAACTCGTCTAGAGTGGACAAGGCCCCAAGCCCAGGGCCAGCCCTGCAGCAAGGGAGAGAGAGACACACACACAGAGAGAGGGACAGAGAGAGAAACAGCACGGCAGCAGCCAGCACCACGCGGAGCAGAGGGCCAGACTGGCTGGATTGAGGCGCCAGGCCTGGAGCAGTGCAGGTGCCTCCCATGCCAGGCGAGGCATGGCCCTGTGGCCTCGCAGCCCTGCGGAGAGCTCTGAGCAGAGGCCCTGCCGTGCAAAGGGCCCTGGTTCAGTGCAGGGTTCACAGCAACTGTCCCATACCCAGACGGACGGCCCAGGGAAGAACAGTGGGGCCACGTGGCTTGTGACCTGGGCAGATATGCCACCATTCAGCCCTGGGAGCCCATGTTCCCTCTCCTGGCCTGCAACCTGGGGACATCGTGGAGGCTGTGGTATCCAGCTCCTCCAGGAGGGAGGGTGAGGACCCGCCTGACCCGAGTGCAGGGTGCTCAGGAGGAACCAGGGCTGGTGGGGACCGAGTATTCGTTCAGCCTCAACGCAAGATCATGACAGTCAAGAAGACAAATGTCAGTCTTCCAGCTTCATGGAACTGAGCTCTGGAAGAATGCATGGCTTGAGAACAACGCAGTTTCCCCTAGAAGAGTAAAAAGAGGAGCCCCTTTCCTAGCAAATGGTGACTGTGATGCATTCCTGGTGGCGGAGCTGTCCTGCCAGAGACAAATCTTCCAGGCACTTGGGAGGGTGATCGGCCCCAGGCAGACGTGGGCCAGGTGGGTTTTACAGGTTGTGCTTGCCTTGATTAACACAGGTGATCAAATCATACTGCCTTTCACCAGGCCCCAGGCTGATGGCTGTACCATCCGCAATGACAGCTCACAGAGGAGATAAAACGCTTCATCAGCCACTCACCGTGCACGAAAGAGCACTCCAGTTGGGTGAAGGGTGTGGAGGTGGCTCGAGCAGCCTGCTGGGCGGCTGGGATGGGCATGCGGACCCTTAGAGGCCAGCAGGCTTCACACCAAAGCTTGACAGACCATCTGCCCCATGGGCCTGATCAGCCCCAAGATGGACATACTGTCCCCCGCAGAGGACGCTGTGGCTTCTCTTGGCTGCATGGCTTGGGCAAGCCCCACCCAGGCCCCAATCTTGTTCTCCCAGTGAGAGGTAACAGGAAGTGCTGTCTCCCGTGCCCTGCCTAGCAGGTCTATGCCCTCTCCACTCAGGTATGCTGCCCCTGAGGCTGAGCGCCCCGTCAAGAGGTGGGTAGGGCCTGGCATGGGGCGTGCGGGCAGGAAGAAAGGTCCTCCAGCCAGCTGTTGGGAGGACAAGGACCTGGACTGGGGGGCTGGCAAGATGCCAGAGCTTGTGAGGGAAGAAGGAAGGTGAGGCAGCAGGGAGGGCACGAGGCTGGACAGGTGAGGGTGCAGGAGCTGTGGACGTCTGGGTGTGTGCATGGGGGGGCAAGTCAGGTGCTGTGACGGCCCTGAGGAGGGTCTTCTGTTGCTGGCAGGGACAAGAAGAAGAGTAGGTAATGGCCTGTGAGAGGGAGATGGCGGGAGCCTGGCATACGCCTGGGAGATGGTCAGCGTGCCCTCTGCTCCTGCAGCCTGGGCCTCATCCCACTTACTGGCACTGAGAACCACTGCACTGACAGGGTGTGGAACCGGCCTCCCAGGGCTGCCTGTCAATCAGGGCCATGCAGACACATCCACAGCCAGGGGCCACTGACCACCTGCTGAGCCTGTCCTTGGCTCTGTCCCCAGGACCCCATAGGCTGGAGAGCACAGCCCACATAGACCCAACCCAGGACAGTTACCACTTTCCTGCAGCCCCAGGGCTGGCCTGGCAGGGCTGGGCAGTGAGGCCCAAGGAAGGCAGTTGCATGTGTCCATTATCTAGCAATGGGGGCCTCCTGTGGGCCCAGGAGGGTGACCTCCCAGACCCTGTCATTATCATACAACATGCTGTGGTCGGTGCCCTGGGGAGGGCCGTCAGTGAATTGAAGTTGCTGAGTCCTGTAGAGTTAAGGCTTAACTGCAGTGGAGCTGGGATTGAGTGAGGTGATTAATCAGAGCAAGGACAGAGCAAGAGCCACATCTGCCTCTTGGGAGCTGTCTGAGTGAGGTGACCTTTGTGGGCTGGGACTGGGTTCTGCAGCTTGATGTGGGCATGGACAGTCCTCATGCTCAACAAGAGGGCGTGGATGGCCAAGCCCAGGACACAGGCTCCAGAGCAGACCCTGCTGTGAAGCTGCACTCACATCTAAGCTGTGCAACCTTGGGGAAGTGCCCTGACTCCTCTGCACCTCAGTTTATGCTTCTGGAAAACAGGAACAACAATCTATCTACAGGGTTGTTACGTACCTTAAGTGGGCGAATACACACAAAACTCTCCACTAGTGTTGGGTGCACAGTCCAAGACATGTGTGCGATGATATCATCAGCATCATGACATCTCCGTCACCACCATCTTCACCATCACCACCACCAATACCTTCATTGTCACCACCACCTTCACTGTCACCATCATCTTCACCATCACCACTACCATCACTATCACCATCACCACCATCACCACCATCACACCAAGACAGGCAGAGCCAGCATGGCAGTCAGGCAGCCACAGAAACTGCCTTTTTCTTCTCAGCATGAACCCTAATTACTGCTCACGGCTCCTCCATGTGCTTGTGCTTTTGGGAGGCTGCCTACCTCCCATGGCTCAGGCAAAGGCATGCAAATTCATGACTTTTCTACCAGGGTCGGTCGACGGCTCGCAGGTCCTGTAACTCACCACCAGACATACCTGCAGGGACACTGCTGGCCCCAGAGCCCACCATGCACGGGTCTCTATGTGGGTTGGGGCGCAAAGACAGTCCTGGTGGTGCGGTAGCCTGGCTCTTACCTGACCCTCTTCACTGGCCAAATGAACTCTCAACGACACTGCCACCTCACAGGCCCCACAGCTGCACACGACATATGACAGAAGCACTGGGAACACTGGGCATTGAGGACCCATGGCCATGGTAAGCATGACGAAGGGGTCAGCCCTGGCCAGGATGGGGCAGCAGGGCCAAGCTGCAGGGGCCTTCAGTGCCTGGCACACAGCCTACAGTGTGCACATGTGGGAGCCATCTGCTCTTGGGCCCCTGGTGTATGGCCACATGTCCTCGATGTGCTGGTACCAAGCCATGCACAAGCTCAGGGCCTCCTACCCATGGTGCCTCCCCCCTCGGAGTGCTGACTGGTCCTGCCACATGCTCAGGAGGACTGTGTTGGGAACACAGAGAACATGCGGTGACTCAACCACTGGACCCCATGTCCTGGGCCTCCAGCTTCCAAATGGGTCTGGTGGGAGCAGCCTTGGGAAGTGCAGGGACAGGGAGTGGGTGAGGGCTGCCATTCCCAGACCCCTCTCCTCCCTGTCCTTCCTTTGTGCCAGCTGCTTGTGTGGGGTGCATTTCACTAAGCTGTTCTACCGAACACGGAGCTGAGTGCCTGTGTGGGGCAGCCTGCCTGGGAGAAGGTGACACTGCTGTGACAACTGGACACGTGACAGTCTCTCATGTGGTGTCCATTGAGGCTGTGTCCACCCTTTACACCTCACTTAGTCGTGTGAATTAGCTGTTGTGCTTCCCTGTCCTTGAAGGCCAGACACTCACGGAGTGCCGGACCAAAGGGGCCAATGGTGCCATGGGGCGGCCCAGGGAAAGGGTGGCCTGCTGCCACCCTGAGAATTCTTGCCTGTCTCATCCTCCCCTTAGGCTAGTGGCTGATGGACACCACTATGAGGCAGCTCTGAGCAGGACTTATATTAACCAACTGGCTTTCCATGTTTACTTGTGAGTCACCTCAAAGGACAGGACAAGGCCACAGCTGAGGACATTTGGCTCCAACCCCAATTAAGTACAAGGAGACTGCAGCTGCAGCATCTCACTCCTGCAGTGAAGGCCTTCCTGGAGTTAACTTAGTTCTCCTAAATTAATGTAAGTATTACTTGGAGAATTCTGTAATGGGTTTCCCAAGTCCTGCCCAGATTCCTGCATTTTCTTTGGTATCCCCCTCCTTTATTTGAAAACCTAATAACTACAAGCAGCCCAGGGAAGTTTGGGTCTTAACCTGGAGAATCTTAAATTTTGTAAGAGAGTTGGAACCTTCTGGAGCTCTATAATCATTTCAATTGTTACATTTATTTAAGCCTTCAAGGTCCACTCATTGGGGAGATTGTAGGCCTGATCAGCCCGCAATAACTAAGGGATATTATAACCTAGTAAGTGGCCATCCAGGGCAGGGCCCAGGTGGCTACAGGGCCCAGTGGGTCCGAATGTTCACATGCCAGCTGGAGTCAGGCTCTGCCTGGTGGTACCGGGGAGGCTGGGGACAGTGGGCAAGTGTGCCTGTCTGGTTACTCAGGGGGAAACGAAAGCACAGAGTCAGAGCTCTGGGGTGGCTGGGTGGGAGGTCCCAGCTCCACAGTCCAGGAGCACCCTCCCCACTGCACCTGATTGATTATTCAGGAAAACTACCTCAAAATCTCACTCTTCTTTACTCAGCTAATTCCCATTTTATGAGTGTTTAGGCTTTAGTGTAAAACAAAGCGCTAATTACCCAATTAACAAGCAATTAAATGACTACATCCCAACTGCCCATGGGCAAACCAATGGAGAGGCCTGTACCTCTCAAACCGGGGACCCAGGCTGAGCCCCCAACATGGCCAGTGCTGTGCAGGACAGCTGGTCGAGGCCGCTGTTCCTGGCCCCCTCCCACCCCCATGGGCCTCAGCAGCCGCCCATCTGTCACGTCTGCAGCCTGGTTCAACTGCTGCATGATGGACCCTCTCCCAGTCACAGACTGTAACACAACACTCACTGAACCTCGGGATAAGGGCAGTTGC